CATTTGACCATAGAATAATTTCAAAAATACTTTAATTCTGAATTAAAACTGCAGTTTATTTTTAACACTGAGAAGACATTTATTCAATTGATTTGTGTTTACAATCATAAGCAAAATATAAGTACTTAAATGCAATCACCGCGATTGATGAGCGATACTCACCATACATATATTTCAAACAAATATAAAATGAGAGCAGATATATTTTTCTATCAGTTGATTTTTGAAAGAGATAATGCATTACCATAACTGGAAAGGGAAAACTCGGATTACAAGGAGAAGTAAATATTCGCTAGAGTTAATCAGTTGAAAGAGTTAAAAATAAACACATTACAGGAAATGAACGAGGTTTTATTTTTAAATGTCGGAGTGTGTTGTTGATCGATAGAAAACACGTCATATAAATGAAAATACTTTTAGTGCAAATATTATGCTGGATTTGGCAATTACTTCACTAAAACAATTGCTATCAAATCTTAAGCTCTGTCTGAAACTTCATTTTTTAATTACACTATTTTGCCCGCGTATGTTATATAAATACATCCGGTTTGAATGGATTAACGAGACTTAATAATTAAAAAAAAAATTTTTAGATAAAAATGCAGCAATCTTTTAAAATAAAACATTTAGTATAATCATTAACTATTAACACCTGAACGACCGAATAGGTCAATTTGACCGCAAATCAACTTTGAGAAGCACCAAGTTCTACAATAACTATACTAACTTACTTCACTTTCTTGACTTTTTCCAACTTTTTGTAATCTTTGAAAACATTAAATTAAAATTTTATTAAAATAAATAGCAAACGTATGAAATGACAATTTTCCAAGAGTGACTAATTGTGGTAAAAACGAGAACTTTAGAAATTTGAGTGTATTAATTTGATTTGATTAATTGTGCTGATTTGATTTAATCAGCACAATACAGGGTTATTCATAATTCCCTAAGGGGTTTCGAAGCGTTATAGTAAAAACACGAAGACGAATAGGGCAAAAAAGAACTTATGAAATTATTCCGAAAGTTTTCAAGTTTTAATTTAAGCAGTTGCCGGTAGATGGCAGTAACATGTACCACTGAAGCCAGTTCTAGTAAATAAAAATGGCGTTTACAGGCGAAAGGAATTATGAATAACCCTGTATTGCTCCCCATTGTTTCATGCAAACAGGAATGGTGCCAAACATAAGTCGCTAAGGGACACCCTCAAGTATATTTTTACCCAATACTATATCTACTTGTTCCACTGTAACGTTTTTAACTCGTTGACTTTTTAGCCACTCACTTTTAACTTATTACTTAAATTTTAACTCGGACTTTTCACAGCTTGCCTATTTCTGCATTCGAATTTTCAATTTCTGCTTTGTTTTTAATAGCTTTATTTACACATTTATTTTTAACTACCTCTTATTTTTGGTGTCTTTATTGCTTAATGCTTTATTATGCTTCCTGTTTTTAACAGCCCCTTTATTTCTTAACTTGTGATTTTAAATTTTGATTGATTGGTCGTATTGCCAATCTCACTTTTTTAGCTGGTTTTCTACTGTTACTACTTTAATGTGCTTTACTTTGTTATTGTGATTTATAAGATGACTTTTGTCCGAATTTTAAACTTATCATTATTACTTGTCAACTCTTTGATTTGTTCACCCTAACTTCTTGGTATTTATTCTCAATGTTTGTTATTTAATTTTCCTTTTTGTAAATGGGCTCAATTAGAATGTCTACGGTCAATTATTAGGGTCCTACGAGCTGATTGATAGACCACTGATAGTGTGGGGAATAGACCATTAGACAATGCCAACCTTCATCTATCAAAAGGTACATCAAAATTGAATCAAGTTAGCATGCATACCTGCCAACTGTTCCGGATTTTCCGGAAGATTTTATTTTCATATTTAAAGTGGTGGTAATTCTATACTATTTTTTCTTTTATAATCTTAATTTTTAAATGATATTTATCACCACTATTCTTACAAAAATTAAGCACATATATTAATATGCGTTACTGTCACGGTTGTCAACTTAAGTTTTCTCAAATACAACGTATTTGTTTGCTTAAAATTGAAGTTTTAATTCCATTTTAATACCACTGGGAAAAATAATAATGGAAGGGATTAAAAGTTGGCAGGTATGAGCATGTCTTATATACAAGGGAATTAATGTTAAATAACCGTAGTGGTAGTTACATCACAGATAGTAATAGAGATAGTGATTGTCAATTACATACTCTAAAAAGGGCTTTGATGCTACCATTGACATGTTTTGAAACTTTATGATGTTTTTATTCAATGAATGAAACGGTGGGGGCTTTGCCGGGTCTCTCGCCCGGTATTGCTGGTGGGAACCTGCGCCTAATCTCCTCAAGGGGCGAGGGCTAGCATAGCGACGAGTCGATTTTACTGGGGGGGGGTCAAAATATTTAAATCTTAGTGTGGATGTGTTTCATAAAAATAAACTATTTTATTTTATTTAAAACTGTCGTTGAACAACCGACCCAATTCCTGAGATTAAGACTACTAATATTCAATTCAGTAGTCTGGTTATTTTGAACCGTATACAGTAGACGAGAAGACTCCTGGATCAAGTATTGGAAGAAATTTTGTTTTCGTGGAGGATTTTTTGATGAATTTAACCTGAAGTTTCGTTGCATGGAGAACCACGAAAACCTAACGAGTTAGCCTGACGACAAGGGGACTTTGATACATGATCCGTCTACCACTGAGGATACTTTATGCCAGCACTGTGGTCCGTGTGTGCAATTCATATCAACCAGGCATCTCTGGGATTGGAGCACGGGTCACCTCATTGGAAGGTGTACGCTCTATCGCCTGAGCCATCACGGCTCTCAAATAAGCCAATTGTAAGCAACGGCGATTTCTAGAATTTGAACTATTTCTAGAATTTGGACGATATTAGTTTTGTTAACTTAGTTTGTTTGCTTTGTCAAGTCTGCTAATTTTCCTGATTTTGTTTATAGCGTGTATCTCTTCATTTCTCGAAAGTCCTTTCTTTTGAGCTTTGCCAACTAAATGAGATTGCTAAAATGCAACTCTCCTCCTCCCTCTCTTTTATAATACTAATAAGTAATATTAGTATCAGATATAGTATTTTTCTGATACTAATAAGTAACAAACGCCGTTAATATTCCTTCTGCCGAAGCATGACAAAAAATGATTGTCATACCTGAAACTTATTTGTGAAAAATGCAAAGAAATTATGGTTAGTTGCTTTTATTTCAAATCATGTGTTATTATCTACAATGGTATGTAACTGTAACTGTTTTAAGAAGTTGTTATTTTTCCTAAAAAAAAAAGGCAGTTTTTTGTATGTTACCACCATTAAATATAGACAACACCATTAAATATAAGCTCACCGGACAAAAAATTAGTCTCCCTGGTGCGCAAGCATCGATGAATCGTTAAGTTTGTTAAATGACGCGGTGGTCAAGTGACGTGTTCAACTGCGGGCTCACTGCTTCAACGTGATCAAAGACAAGTAACCATCAGTGAGATATATTTGTTTGAAGCGAAAATTTTGTATAAATATGGGTAAGAGTAAAGATGTGATAGAGTGGCAAAAAGGGGCAATTGTGTTTGGCCGTACCCATGGTCATACGGTAAATGAAGTTGCTGGATTTGTTGGTGTTTCGATGCGGACTGTTCAATGTGTCTACAAGCAGTAGTGTAATACACGTGGTCACAAAAGACGACATCAGAATTGTGGTCGGAAAAAGATCCTGCATGAAAGGGACCAGAGCAGTGTTTCACTACTTGTCATTCAAAATCGTTTCCAAACCAGACAGGAATTGCTTCAGTTTATAAATGAATGTCCATCCCAACCTGTTAGTGAGAGAACACTGTGACGGGAGCTGCATTTGGAGCCTAACAGCTCGTAAAGGGTCATTTCTAACACAGGCACATAAAGCTGCACTACTTCAGTGCGCTAGAAGTCACCTAATGTGGCCAGTTGCAGACTGGCGGGATGTAATATGGTCAGACGAATCATGTTTTTGCCTTTATTCAAAAGACGCGCGTCTACAAGTGCTACGAAGAACAGATGAAGCATTTCATCCTAACTGTGTGCAAGGTCAGGTGTAGGCCAAGGGTGGGTCTGTCACGTTTTGGGTTTTTTTTCTTACTATGGATTGAGCCTCCTCACTGAGGTGCCCACTAACATAAACCAACGTGTTTATTTGAACATTCTGGATGATTAGATGCTGCCTTTCAATCAATATTTTCATAAAAAGTGTGTTATCGATATCCCTATGCTTCAAGATGACTAAACAAAGCTCATCGGGCTGGAAGAATCTGTGACTGGTTTTACGAACACTCAGATACTCAATTACATCTCGACTGGCCTGCAAAATCACCTGACTTGCACTCCATTGAATATATTTGGGATATGCTGGAACAACAGGTAAAACACTGAAATCAGCATCCTCGCAATTGGCGGGATTTGCGCGATCAAATCCTCAACAAGTGGTTTATACTGAATTCAACGTACCTGCAAAGCCTTGTGGATTCACTTCCTAACCGAATTCAGGCGGTTATCGAATCCAGAGGCGGTGTTATATGCAATCAAATGATGATTTTCGTGATTTCTCTAAGGGTGACTAATTTTTTGTCCGGTGTGCTTGCTACATAATGCTAAAATTATTAAAATAATTTTTATAAATTAATTTTCTATTTTTATACTGATATTTGATCCAAAAATCTAATATTTATGCTTATATTCTTATTACAGTCAAAATGACCGCAATGCTCGTTCTAGGTAGTTAAAACTGTTGGTGATTCTTGTGCCTTCGTTCGAGTTTCCATACTTTCAGTGAAACAATGACAACATGACTGACATTGAAATTTCATTTAAAATCAATCAAAGCAAAGTGGATGAAACATAATTTTATTACCAGACAATTGTATTTTTTGCTTTTACTAAAACAATTAAATTATCTTAAAATTTAACAAAGCAGTAAAATTTGAAATAAAGGAGGCACTCTTTTCTCTAAAAGTTTTATTTGTACTCTGAACTGCGCCATATCACGAATAAAACAAAAATCTGAAATGGGCTTGGAATAAAGTTTGAAATAATTTCTTGATTAGAATATTCTTAAGAGGAAGAAAATAGATGCCAAATCTATCATGCTGTATATGTTACTCTCCAGAATACATTTCTGTAAAACCGGTACTTTATTACCTAAGTTTTACTCAGGGGACGTATTCCATTACTGGAGACTAAGAAATATGTCACAAAAATCCTGGCATAAAGATGCCATTCCACAAGTAGAAACAAATGAGTAGAAGTTAAATCTGAGGATTTATATCTTTATATTTTCCACATAAAACTACCTCTCTATGGAAAACTTTAAATCTCATTTACACTCACTTTTCCGGTCTCATTCTTCTGAGTATTCTCTCATTCTTTTTCTTCGCTACAATCATTCCTTTTTAGAGGGTGGTTCTTTATTGAATCTCATTTCTTATATCTTGTGTTTGATGGTACGTAAGTATTATTTGTTTTTATCAGACTAAACTCAGGAATTGTTTAGACAAGCCATTACAAAGTAGAGGCACAGCTTCAGAAAAAATAGGGATTTCATTCATCACATGTGGGATCAAATATCATTTCATCAGATATAGGATCACGTAAAAGTGAAGAGGAGTAAGACAATAAAGTACAAAATATTCACTGTTTACTCCTAGAGGATTAATTAATATCCTCTAAGAAACTGAAGTGCATCACTTTTTAAGATAATTGAGAACATTCCAAACTAATCCATGAAGCTTAGAGTCTTTAAACAAAAATTGCTTATAAATGTCTCTATTACTTACTTCTTTTCTATTGAATGACAATGGGAAAATCATTTTTGTGCAAGTAAGGTTACTGCGGGAAAAGAATAGAAAAACCTCATAACTGTTATTTTTATTTATTTAATTGCTGTACTTCAAGAAGAAAAAATTATCTGAATAAATATAGGAAGTCACGTTATGTTAAAATATCTGCAGTACATATATCGACAAGAAGGAAAAATTAGTAAGAGAAACGCTCCTCAAAATATTATAAAACTTTAAATATTAAAGCTGATTTCCAATGGCATTTTAAAATATCTCTGGAACTCAGACTAAAAATTTTAAAATTGGTTATGATAATGTTAGGAAAATTCACAAGTATGACACGTTTTAAACTTGTACTGTTAATACTTTCAATATTGTTATCCTGAAAGCAAATAAAAAATACACATGACATCGAAGAAACTAAGTCTAAACTTGACTCTCCGGATTATTATTACTTTTGAGAGTAGAATCAGCCCCTGAAGAACGAATAAGAGTATTATTCTGTATTCTTTGATTATCAGTCACAGAGCTCCGGTTCGAAACCAGTGCCGAACTTGCTTTAGCTACTACCCATCCGATTCTTACCATTTCTCGACGAATATTACTATTCAGCCAACCATAAAGAATGGGATTTGTGATGGATGACGTCATAGCAGTCATGTGGCAAATCGCGAAAGCTAAGTACAGATTTTTGGGCTCCATAATGTTAGGGTGAAACTCAGCAAGCAGGTTTAATCCGTTCCAGGGTAACCAACTTACTGTGAACACTACAGATATGTTCAACAGAACCATGGTGGCTCGTGTGTTCCGCTGTAAGTCCCTCTTGAGCCTTTCGTTGCTCATATTTGACTGATCAATACTGGATGAATCACTGTCTGATTTGATTATTCTTTCATTTAAATGGGTTCGAATGTTAATATGTGTCACTAAAAGTGCGACAGAGGGTATCACGAATTGAAAAATAAGTATAGTGATAGTGTAAACACCTTTAAAAGCCGGACTTGGCCATAGTTCTACACACTTATAATAAAGATGTAATCCAGGCAAACCAACTGGTACAGTGTCTTGGAATATGCAAATCGGTACAGACAGCAGCAGGGATGTCAGCCATATGAAAGCAGCATTCAAGCACATCTCTCGTTTACCGTTTTTCGGGAATTGAGGATTGAAATTGATAATTGTGTTGTAGCGATCTATAGCAATCGCTAATACTGTAGCAGCAGAAACAAAAATAGTCGAGGCTTGGATGAAAGGAACCATTTTGCAAAGAAAAGCTCCTAAGAACCAGCTTCTTCTAATTATCACCATCAGTGTAAAAGGCATGCAGAAAACACTCAGTATTATATCTGATACGTTAAGGTTAATGACCAAAACATTGCGGGATGATCTGAAACAGAAACAATTTTTTTAGCTTCAAGATTAAAACATTATTGCTTCAATACATCAAATTAGAATCATATTATGTTACAAAATGATGAATTATGTAAGAAACTCTTTGAGGTGGCATGTCTTCTAAACCATATTACCCAAAAAAAAGTACTAGTAAATCTTTTTTTTCCGAGTCAATCACATGTCTTATTTCAGTCACCAGAGCTGAGAACTATGCTAATCATTTATTATTTTAAATCGTTAAGTTTCAGAGGCATATTAAATTAAGATATTAGAAAAGCATTCTTTAATGAAAGATTAGGAAAATTATTAATTAATAAAATTTTGTTTCGAAAGTTTGATATAAATTGTTAATATTCAATATTAAAACTATTGTTAATAAATTAATTATAAATTTTTTTCAATAATTTAATTAATATTACAATTAATTATAATATTAATTATATTAAAGCAATTATATTATAATTATTTTCAATAATAATGATATTGATTGTTATTAATTACAAATTAATTAATATGCCAGAAAAGTTTTGTTTCAGTGTTATTTAAGCATTTCTCCTCTTAAGATCTAGTAAATTTTATATTTCAATTTGTATTGTTGCAGCATATGTTGCATATAGGCTTGTCTTATAAAATTATCCGTCAGAAAGACATTATAATTTTTTTAATATATATTAATTGGTTTTAATAATGTTAATAAATTAATCATAATATTAATTATATTATTATTAATTTATTAACATTATTAATATCATAATAATATTATTAAAATCTTAATTAATCATAATAATAATTATATTAAAGTACTATATTATAATTATTTTCAATAATAATGATATTAATTGTTATTAATTACAAATTAATTAAAATGCCAGAAAAGTTTTGTTTCAGTGTGATTTAAGCATTTCTCCTCTTAGACCTAGTAAATTTTATATTTCCTTTCGTATTGTTGCAGCATATGTTGCATATAGGCTTATCTTATAAAATTATCCATCAGAGAAATATTATAATTTTTTTTAATACATATTAATTGGTTTTAATAATGAATTAGTTACCACTGCTAGAAAAATTTCATTTAAGTTTAACTTAAGCATTTTTCTTCTTAAGAGCTAGTGAATTTTTTGTTTTCTTTTGTATTCTTGCATCTTGTGTTGCATACAAGCTTATCCTAAATATAAGTGTTCATCAGAGGAAAATTAAATTTGGATTTGTACAACATCAATGTATCATTTTTATAAGGAACAAAAGATTAAAGTTTATTATTGAAAGAATAATTAAAGCGACACTTTTTTAAACATTGTTCATGTTGTAAGTAATTTTACTACTCACCTGATTTTGGTGTTAGCCAAAATAACGCTACACACTAAAATATTACTGCACAGTCCAACTGACATTAGCAAGGTATAACTTGTTATGATGGCTGTTTCAATTCCAAAACCAAAAATTTTGTCATTGGAGAAATGTTCATCCAGTACATCCAAAGCTTGGGATATGCTGAAGTTGAAAGAAAAATTGAAATTCAATTCTGTTCCATTTAATGGGAATAGAAATCTAGCCATCTTGTAATTTTCACTAGATTGCAAACGTTTCTAGAGAATTAACTTTAGAATTGAAAAACTTGTCCATTTCTTATGTAAATGAATAAAATTCTCCTGAAAAGAGTAATATTCCAAAAAATTACTGACAAATAGGTGAACAGCAAATCGTAATAGTAAATTGTTATAACAGTAAATTAATCAGGGTAATTTGATTAAACTAATAAAGAAAAAATATGATAAATTGATAACAAAAAGTTTAATATTTTTGATCGAGATATTAGAGTAGTGAACTATTGAAATTACTGTAACGCTAGAAGCTAGAATAGTGCACTGAACAGAGTTAGTGGATTAGTAAAGACATTTTATCTGCACTAATAAAAATAATAAAACATTAAGTTAACAGATATTTTGAAAAATATAATAACAACAGTAAATTAATAAGATTAATTGGATTGATGAAGTTAATTAGTGAAGCTAATTTATTTGTCAAGTTAAGGGATTAGTAAAAGTAATTTGAATTAGCTGATAAGAACAATCGAAGCATGGTATTAGCTAATTTAAACTGAATATATAATTAATTAGCACTGAATTAAGAGTACAGAATAAGTATATTTATCAAAAATAGAATGTAGTTAGCTGAATAATAATAAAGAATAATGGTCAAGAACTAAATAGATTTCAAAAATAATTGAACAATAAATAAAAATAATAATAGTTTACCACACATGATTAATAATTATAATTAAAATTCAAAAATAAAAATATATTTAAAATAGTTGCTTCCTGAAAGTGACTTAAATGCATCATTTCACTTCATGAAATTAGCAAATTAATAGTTAATGGTTAATAACTGATAGTTGAAAATGGATACAAGTAGATAGTTGATAATTGAATAGATTAATGAATTGAATAGATTAATGAATTGAAGAGGAATGAGGAATAACTTGTTTAGATTAGTATATAAAATTGTTTTAATAATAAAAGACGACCAGTTATTTAATGATTAAGTAGATTAATAATAATTTAGAATAAAAGGGATTATGAATATCTGAAGTGAATTGGATAGAAATAGTAAAGGAAATTAATAGAAAAAATCGAAAAGAATTGATAAATTAAAGAAATTGAAAGAAAACTTTTAATAAATTTTTTGAATTTAAAATTAATAAATTAAGAGAATTGCATAATTTTTAAGTATTGAATGCGCAAAAATAATTTTGAAGTCCATCGTAGACAAAAATCAAATATGAAGCAAAAAACTAAGGCAAAATACAAAATGTAACTTAATTCTTTAAATAAATGAAGAATGTATGACTATGCATATTAAATAAAGAGCTACAATTTTAAATAGAAACTTAAAATAAAATTTAAATAAATACATGAAAATCATATTGTTATATCAAATAAAAAGAATGACATTTACTTCACACATTAATAAAACTCACTTATCGGAGCAAACATTTAAGCACTTCTAGGCAAATACATGATATTTTGTTGCATATTAATTGAAAAAAATACATTAAACGCTTTTATTTTCTCCAAATTAGTTATGCTTTTATTTTCATTAAGCAAACGCTAAATAAAAATACTGTATCTTCCAGTCACTTTCTGGATTCACACTTAAAAAAATTAAATGCTAATGTATTTACATACTAAATATAATAGTAGATATTTTCACTCAAATGATAGGGCTTGATTTTTTTTCAGATTGAAATATGATGCTTCAGTTTGCGTTTTAGTTTTTTTCTCAGTAGAGATTTTAAATCTAAACATAAAACTTTATTGTCAAATAGAGGAAAATATAAAGTTTTGAAGTAGGAATAGAAATAAAATTTTTGATTCATTTTTCAGAAAAGAAATGCATGCAGCAGAATGTATAGACTATTATTTTTCTACATCAAATTAAAAGAGTAAAGTTTTAACGAAAATTTTTTCCTTATTTCATGCTTTATTTGAGGTTCATGTTTATAATATTTTCGTACCATCAACAATAGATTTTTTTTTTAGTTTTAGTATTAATAAATTCCAAGCAATAATAGTTCCAGGTATATTAAAAATTAATAAGTAATGAACAAGAAAACATATTTTGTAGGAAAAATAAAATGATATACAATAAATAATAACTAATATAAATGGTGATTGATTATAAAGCATTTTGAATTAATATTCTCAATTGAACCCTAAAATTGGCTGACTAAGGCTAAGACTTACGTATTATTTAGAACTTATTTAAGATTAATACTGTATGCATGTAAAAGAAGCCATATGTTTTAAAAAGTGAGGCCATATAAAATCCATACAGTTTTTAAAAGAGATAAGAGATAGCATTATGAAAAAATGTTTAATACTTTTATTTGTAGTGGATGAGAATAAAAGAGGTATAGAATAGTTATTGGTTTATAAATATACACCATTCTCTGAACCAATATTCTCAATTAAATACCAACATTGCCTCACAATGAATAAAATTTAGTCAATATTTAGATCTTTTTAAGCATTATACACTGTTAGAATTTTCATTTTAAAATTATAGTAAAATAACCGGTAGTAGTCTGTTCATCCAATTAAACGGTAAAGAACTATTTTTATCTTCACGGTTTTAAAACTGTTCGCAACTAGTTGAAAAAAAAACATAAATACAAAACTATGCTTTTTTTAACCATTTACTACTAGCATATTTTCAAAATAAAAAAAAGGAATTTAACTGGACATTGCAGATACAATATTTTAACAGATTTATGGTGCTGCTATCATGAATGAAAGTATAGTGTATGCATGAAGGAAAGTATCATATTCTAATAGTCTGGACACTGTAACTCTTCATGGGTCGAAGGGAATGATGGAAATATTGCGATGTCAACTCTGGGAGTCGAATCTCTGTTCGGTCAGTCATGAGATAGACAGAGTAGCCCTCTCGTCTATAATTTGTACCATACCACAAGGAAATAAGTGACTTCTTTAAGTGATCTTAATTTGTGCTTGAAAATTCTGACTGTTTATCGGTATTATGTGAAAGCTGTCCTGTCAATAAACCATTTTTCTCACAGTAAACAGTCTGAATAACATCTAATTTATGGTTATCTGACTGTTTTGTATGAATATGGAATAATAATAACAAGACAAATTTGTAATTTCACCATTTTTTCCGAGAAATTTCTAACTGTGTATTGTAATCATAACAAAGAAGACAAATGTTCAAAAAAGCAACGTCAAATAAAATTCATAATACGAGTTTTTAAACAGAAGTATGGAACAGTATTTGGAGGAAACAAATGTAACTTTTTTGTAGCCAGATTTTTCAGTTTCCCATTAAAAATTAATTCTCATTGAGACAGTGTTTATAAATCAGCGTTTATAAAAATAAAAAATAAAAATTTTTTTATTCGTAAGTGTGATACTAATTAGTGATCATCAGTACGTCTCTTTTCTAAATGCTAAGTTAAAAAAAAAATAAATAAATAAAAAAACAAGTTCTTATACATTTCTAAACGCGATTAATTTTTAAATTTTCTCTGTTAATGAGAAAAATCATTAATAAAATGGGCCGATTGATTTATTTTCATTAGATAATTATCAGAAATACTTAAAACTCATTTCAAATACATTATGAAACGTAGTAAAATTTTTCTCAAAAGTAAAATTTTGTAAAACACATATTGATGCTATTTTATTTATATAGTTAATAACTCTTAAAAAAAATGGAGATATTAAAGTAACGAATGACAAAGATTAAACAAATTAATTCCATTTACCCAAAATTTGATCATTAAAAAGTAACATTTGTTAAAAATAGTTTTCAATTATGATATTCTTACAGGAAATATTGATTTTATACTATGTAAAAATTTCCTCATTATTTAACTGAAGCTAAAATTTATTATTATACGAAGTCGCACAAATAGATTTCTCTTTTTGTTTTTATCTTTTATTGGACGATCTGGAGTTTTGTGTAATTATAGATTTTTCTCTTGGGGTAAAGGCATCTTCTTCAGTAGTATTCTAGAGATTACTTTAACTTCGTTGCATTAATGTTTGCAAACATTTTGCAACATTAGTTATTTTTCTCTAATGTTTAACTAATTCTACTTTTGCATTTTGAAAATCTATTTATATTAGTCTCTAAACAATTTTCATAAATAAAATAATAATAAATTGATTAATTTGGATAATTTAAAATATTTTACAACCTTTGTTAAACGGTCAACCCAATTTTGGGTTTACGACTACCAATCGTCGATAAGCTTTAAATTTGGACATAGCTAGAAATGTGCGTTTTCGAAAATGGAAATAACTTGAGGAGCGCGTTTTCAAAATGGTCACAACTCGAAACGAGTGTTTACGAAAGTAAACATTACTTGAAATGCGCGTTTGCGAAAATGAACATAGATAATTACAAAAATGAATACAGCTTAAAACGCGTGTAAAGAAAATGGACATAGCATTTAATTCCACTTTTTAGACCAGAGTTGAGCGCTGATTACAGTACTCGATTACATCCGCAAATGATTAGAAATTATTACTACTATGTAATTGATTACTGTTATTGCAGTTACAGGATATCGTAATTACAGGTATTGATCTTCAGCGCTAATATATTTAGAGTTACTAATATATTTAGAATCAAATAACAAATCAATAAAATAATAAAATATAACCAATAATTACTGTAAGTACAATGGAAAATATTATAAAATAATTAATTAATATAGACCTGCATAAATAAGAGTTTATAAGGAAGGCAGCAGGATTTTAAGATTCATCTTTTAGACTTATTTTTTTCAGCAGACTCTTAGTCAGACTTTTATTTCTTACAGCTGATTACAGAAAAATGATTTTTTATAAAACGAAAACATTGATCACTTATTTAAATTTAATTTTAACTAAGCATTTCTGTATATAATTTCTAAAAATTTCTGTAGATCGTATATCTCCATACTTACTTATTCCATCTCTAAAGATAAGAAGATACCAAATCAAAAAATCTGTATGTTTGCGTTCTTATTTGTGAGCCAAAGGTAGCCTTACAGCTAAAAAAAATTCCACTGTAGTAATTCTTAAAGTGTTACACCTCTGAGCGCAGTTTCTGAACATCTAAATTAGCCATTTTATAA